AATAATAATAATAATGATGATAGTAATAATAGTGATGATAATGATGATAATAATAATAATAATAAAAGAAGAAGTGCATTGAAATATATTACTGACTTATCAAATATAAAGAGACTTAAAGAAAATATTAACAGCTTTTAGTAATGTACAGAAACAGCTATAGTATTGTATAGTAATATTATCTTCATTCAATACATACACTGTTAATATTCTTTGTATATAGTTATTATATAATCTGTATCAGAGATACATGCAGAAAACAGATCTTTATTACTAGAATAAATAATTACAGTAATTCTCTGTTTTCATATTATAAAGATAAGTTATTCTTATTTCTTTCTTCTCTCTTTTCTCTTCTTCAATCAATTACTAATTTCAAGCTGATATGAAAACTATTAAAACACTCTCAGAAATTCTCAAATTGAAGAGTATAGACTAATTAAATTTCAAATGTAGAAGAAACTAAATTATCTTCTACAGATTTAATTACTTATCTTCTCTTAAATAAAACAGCAGTTGCATTTTCTTCTCTTCTCAATTAAATGAAACATAGTCTGTGAAAAGTGAGTATTATATCAGATTATAATAATTAACACAGTCTCAGCACACAGAGCTGTATATACACAGTGTATACTGAACTGAGAGACTGTATGAGTTGCAAACTGACAGCAGCATTTCAGAGAGAGCTGTGTGATATAAGAAAGCTGTAACTCTCAGTCATATATACAGAGAATGAATTGCTGTAGTAAGTGTATATATATTAAAGTAATACTTTTTAATATTACTCAGTCTCTGATATGATGAAAATAGAGTCTCTTCATAAGATTCATTTCTATCAGAAGTCAGAGAATCTTATATTTCTTAAGATTATCTTTACATATCTTATCTGTGAAATTGATGAGAAGAATCATTGATTTCAGTATTCTATTCTTGATATTATTCAAGTGACAGCACAGTTCACTCTAACTACACTTTTTAAGTGTATGTTTTCTAATTATTCACATTTATATAGATATATACTGAATATTTATTAGATAATATTAAGATAATGACTTATTATAACTGTGTTATTCTCACTGTGAGAAATACACAGTTAGTGATAAACATTATAAAGACTCTGAGAAGTAAGTATTTTAAGAATACTATGACTCTGTAATCTTAATTTTTTTTTTTATTTTTTATTTTTTTCTCTTTCTTTTCTTTTTTTTATTTTTCTTTCTCTTTCTATCTCTTTTTTTCTTTCTCTTCTTTTTTTCTTTCTCTTTTTTTTTTTTGTTGTGATTTTTTCTTGTTGTTTTATTTTTTGTTTTTTTTATTATTTTTTGTATTTTACATTTTTTTTTTAATTAAAATGATATTAATTATGATCTGTGTTTAGAAAAGTAATAATATTTGATAATATTCTCTATTGAATTTTCAACAAATGAGTACTATGTTATAATATTATGTAAGTGAGAAATGATTTCATAATCTTATTTAATATCATTTTCAATAATAAGATCAGAATGAAAATATAACTAAGAATTTAAACATATTCTTTATCTAAGACTAGATTTTTATTTGAAAAGTGAATCTGAGATCTTTAATATTTGAAATAACAGGATTTGAAATCAATGTAATGAACATAAATTATAATCAGAAGTAATACTTTTAGATAATATAATAACTGTAAAGTTTAATTCTGATCTCAGACACGGTCACACAGTCAGTCTAGCTTTGTAAAAACTATTAGCTAGAGTCTGTAAGAAATTACTTATAAGAAGACTTACAGTAAATAGTGAGAGTATACTACTAAGAGTTAGAAGCTAGTCTGAGAAAGACATGAGATTAACTACTAATCTGAAAATTCAATATAGTAACAGAACTAAGAGAGATAAAGATACTATTATAAGTAATAATATCTCTACTTAATCAGACAGTAGAAAGTGATCAGAGATATTATAGAAATACTTTTAAGAAGCTTAACAGCAGTCAGATATTATTTATCAAGATATTAAAATTGAAAAAATTTTAATTCTTAAGAAGTTCTTGAATTAATATACAGATATTATTAGAAATACTCTCTCTCTATCATCTGATTGAAAATACTTTATAGATGAATGAGAATACTCTCAGTTATAAGAATAAAAGCTGTTACAGAAAAAGAGAAAAGAAGATAAGATTTTATAAACAGATCTAAGATATTTATACAGCCCCGGTGGCCGAATGGTTAATGCGGCCACCTGGTAGCATCTTGGCATGAGAAACCAAGATGTGTGAGTTCAAAACCCGCAGGGGATACATTAAATCCAGAACTCAAGCACCTCAGGTTTCTAATAAATACAGAGATGTACAAATTGCTTCAATAAAATTACTCTATGTTTCTGGGCTGGGAAGTTATTATCACATGTATCTAATTGTCACTTCTTTGTATTTCCTATGTTCTTGTTATCTTGGCATGATCTTAACACCTGTATTTCCTTCTGTATAATCAACACTTGGCCTGTATTTAACATCATACAAGGACTCATCATAAGCTCCGCTTGCATATGAGTATAATGAAAGAATAATAATAATAATAATAATAATAAAGATATTTATACTACTCTAGAGAGATTTGTTTACACTATAAATAATCTTATAGAATAGTCAGATTACTCTAGTAAATAAAAAGTAATTATAAATCACAGATCTGAATCTTTCTACATAACTATAAAGAGTGATTATAAATTACAGATATCTTAATTCTACAATTTTACAGAGTTAATAAAAGAATGAAAATTTCTTATAACTCTACAGTGTCAAAGAATGATAATTTATAAGATTAAGTGAAAGATTAACTTATAAATACTTCTCTTTAATAAAAGTGATCTTACAGAAAGTGATTCATCTGCAGAATGAATCTATGTAATAAGTATATAAGAATTTCATAGAAAAATGATTGAAGATTAACTGAAACTTTTTAAATTAAAAGATATAGAATGAATCTGTATGATAATTATATAAGAATTTCATAAAAATAATTGAGAGTTAATTAGAACTCTTCTATATAAAACATATAAGATAAATTTATATAATAGTCAGAGAAAGATCTGCAGATTATAAAGAATTTTATAGAATAAGAAACTGAGTAACAGACTCTTTTCTCTTTATAATAATAAGAAATTTTTTCTCACTGAGAATTTTTATAGATATAAAGAGTTTTTAGTGAGTATCACTACAGTGCTAAGTCTGATTCTATGAAATTACTCAGTGAAAGACTTTATAAATAAAGTTATAAAGAGAGAGAAGTATATAAGAAATCTTACTTCTCATAGATTCTTTATCTCTATTTCTATATCTTGTATAATTAATATAGTTAGCAGCTCTTGACTATATATAACTATATAGACTGAAGTTCATAATTATTATTTATAACTTAGCTTAAATACTATTATATATTTAATCTCTATATTTTATCTTTCTATTATAAATACTTCTAGTAGTTAACAGTACATATTATATCAAGCTGCAAACATCTAGACTGACTGCTGAGATTATAAATTTCACATTTAATCTCATTTAATGTAATCTCATATATATCTTAATATGAATCTCACTGAGACTAGTTATTAAAAAAACATGCAAAGTGACTATATATGAGATCTTAAAATGAAATCATGACTTGAAAAAAATGAGAAAATGATTTCATTTAATCTCATTTAGTTTCATTCTTAGTATAAAGTTACTATTTTTAGACATTTTAAGGTTTTTTTTGAACTATTTTTAATTTTTTAAAAAGTAACACTTTTTGATAATACTCAAATAAGATTTAAAGTCATTTAAAGCAATAAAACTAATTTAAATTGAGAAGTGAAAATCATAGTCTTATTTGAAAAATGTTATAAAAGTAGATAATAAGTCTCACTGAAATAGTATAAGACTACTATTTAATGTTAAAACTATGTAATAAGATCAGTTAAATTGATAATAAGACTATTAAAAAATCTGATTCTGATCTCAGATATAGTTATATAGTTAGTCTATAAATATTTAAATAATTATCTATAAGCACTTATTCTTATATAATTATAACTTAAGAAAGTTTCTTTTTAATTTATAAGTATTTTTAAAGATTATATCTAAAGACTTAATTCAGAGATATTTATAAATAGTAAATATTTCTTATAAAAAATAGCTTGATTTTATAAGAAATACTTAAGAATATTCTTTACTAATATTAATTTATTTATAAATTCAAAGAGTTTCTCTATTATAGATATAAAAAATAATATTTTATAAGTAATTAATAAATAAGTTTTTTAAGACTTCTTTTATAAGAGTTATTTATAATTTAGATAGCTGCTTCTGAGTATCTAGATTCTATAGTAGAGTTTATAGAGATTAAAGTATATAAGTTTCTAGTTTTTTTAATTATAATAGATGATTACTGACTAACAGAGCTTGAAATATAAGAATAAGTACTTACAGATAATTATTCAGATACTTACAGCTTAATATAATATATACTAATAACTACTAGAAGTATTTACTGTAGAAAGATAAATGTAGAGATTAAATATATAATAGTATTTAAGCTGAGTTATAAATGATAGTCATGAACTCCAGTCTATATAGTTATATATAGCCAAGGGCTGCTAACTCTATTGATTACATGAGAGATAGAAATAGAGGTAAAGAATCTGCAAGAAGCGGAATTTCTTACAAATTCATGATCTCACTGATCAGTCTAACTGTGATAATGTATATCAACTGATTTCATATTTTTTAGCAGCCTCAGTGTAACTAGGGATCAATTGTGTGTTCAAATCATCAATTGCCGCTTGTATAACTGCTTTGTGATGCATGTTGTAAGTGTTTGAAGCTGGATGAAAAAATGAAGATTGGGCGGGCATTGGGTGGTTGATTACGTTATGGAACAGATGCTGGTAACTATCAGAACAAGGGTTTTGCCCTAAATTTTTTCCTAAACCGGATCGCTTAGGTACCAACAGAGCTTGTACAAAACCTTCCAGGAAATCTTTCGAGGAGCTTTCCTCTCTCTTCGTCTTCCCTCCCCCGAACCGCCCAACTATCTCGACAACCACCCAAGGCAGACTGACTACCTTTCGCACTCGCCATGCGTAAGTATCGTCCCTTGGCTGTCACAATGACATGGCGACTGGCAACTGATTTTCCATTTTGTGAGCAGCTCCCAAGCTCGACCCCAATGAGGTGAAGATCATGTAAGTTTCCATCCGCGACTCCCCATTTACCATCCAGCAACGAACTGCCTTTGCCATTGTATGTGAATTCTAAAAAAATCTATAGCCACCTGAGGACCACAGGTGGAGAGGTCGGCGCCCAATCTGCCCTTGCCCCCAAGATCGGTCCTCTCGGTCTCTCCCCAAAGAAGATCGGTGAAGATATCGCCAAGGCCACCGGCGACTGGGTACGTTTGGATCAAGAAATCCAAATCCAATGCCAAAGCCAATGGAAAACCCCAAATTGCTAATACCGCATAACAGAAAGGTCTCCGCGTCACCGTAAAACTCACCATCCAGAACCGCCAAGCACAGGTCTCTGTTGTGCCCTCTGCCTCTTCGCTGGTCATCAAGGCTCTCAAAGAGCCCCCACGTGACCGCAAGAAGGAGAAGAACATCAAGCACTCCAAGTCCATCCCCCTCGATGAGATCGTTGAGATTGCCCGTGTCATGCGCCACCGCTCCCTCGCCAAGGAGCTGAGAGGAACTGTCCTTGAGATCCTCGGAACTGCTTTCAGTGTTGGCTGCCAGGTTGACGGACGGAGCCCCAAGGATGTTAGCGATGAGGTTAAGTCTGGGGAGATTGATAGTACGTATAATTGTGCTTTTGTCCCGAACCGTTCTTCTATCTTAAGGGGTGATCTTTCTAGTACTAACGGGGATGTTTTGAAATAGTTCCTTCGGAGTAAATAAGAAAATCAAAAGAATCGTTTTTTTTTCTTTTTTGTATTAGTCAATGTCGGAATCCCGCCTTTTCCTCATTTCTTTTCGATGCATTGGCCTACGGTGTGTTGTTATACCTGTGCAGCCGGAGCCTGAAACACGAAAATAATAGTATCCGGACCAATGGCCATTGAGTTTTATGAGATATGACCCATTCATATATTTTTTTTTCTTTTTCTGGTTTTTACTCGAAAAAGAATGTCGGATATCAGTTAAGATATCCCCACAAAGCCAATATTATTTTGCCCTTTGCCCTCCCAAACTCATAGCCTTTCGCTCGCAACCTATATATCTGACTTCTTGACATCCCCTCACCTTTGCCAACACTCTGGCCCTTACCATCCTGTTTTCCGGGAAATATTACCCACGGTAAAGGCCTATTTTGGTGCAAAGAAGATAAAATATCTGACTAATTACTCACCGCGATATCTTTTTATTTGGAATTTGAGCCCTTCTTTTCCCTTTCGCGCGGGGAGGGAGGGGCTTGATTCCGTGGATATGGTGGTCCATCTTTTATGGTCTACATGTTCAATGATGCATTTCACCTGGAGTTTCCTTCTGTGCGCTGGGAGGTGAATTATGTGGCTTTTTGTTTTGTAAAGCACTACTCCGTAATTAGAGATGAATTATATATTCAAATCATCAATTCCTGCTTGTATAACTGCTTCATAGTGCATGTTGTGATGAATGAAAAGATGAAGATTGAGCGGGTGTTGGGTGGGTGTTGGGTAAGTTTAGTTTTGCCCTAGCAACGCCGAGCCCGATCTGCTATTGCTAAGACCCCAGCCCAACGCCAAGACAGCGGTGACATCAACTCCAACACAACACCAAACGGGCTTATAACGGTAGCTAGCTGGCTCTCTCTGCGACTTACTCCGTCCTCTTCCCGCTCTCTCCCGCTCACAGAGATAAGTGGCAAGAGAAGGAAATAAATCGCCATGCCATGGCTGTTCTGGTCATCCGGATCGCAGCGGCAGATGTCCAGTAATGAAAACAACACCGACAAAACCACTCCGATAGTGGGAGAAACCAATTCCTCGTCCTCCTCCACTCAATGCGCCAACTGCTCTACTCCCATCACCACCCCTCCTACAGATACCTCCAACCAAGTAAATCCCCCACACCAAACCCATCGCCCACCCGCACTAGACTGGAACGCCTCTCTCGCCACCCGCGACTGGGCCGGTGACTTCAAAGATCCCCGCAACCTCATACCCACCCTCCTTCTCACCAGTGGCATCCTATTCTGCGTGCGGATCCACCGCAAGTACCTGCGCCGCATCCCCGTCGCGACCAGCATCTCACCAACCTACTTCCATAAACGCAGTATATTCGGGCGTGTCACGAGCGTGGGTGATGGGGATAATTTCCGCTTGTTCCATACCCCGGGCGGCCGGCTGGCTGGGTGGGAATGGTTGCCGTTTCGCAAAGTGCCGACGGCGAAGAAGGAGTTGAAGGATCGGACTGTAAGAAGCTGTCTGCTTTGCGCCATGTCCTCCCCTACCTTTTGTAGCCGCCATTAGTATTATAGAAAAAAACCAATCCCACATAAAACCAATTTCCAATTTTCCCCCTCTCAGACCCCACAACTAACCACATACACCCCCCTTTTCCACCCCCCAGATCCACATCCGCCTCGCAGGGGTCGACGCCCCCGAGCTCCCTCACTTCGGCCGCCCAGCCCAACCCTACTCCGACGCCGCCCACACCTGGCTAACAACCTACCTCCTCAACCGGCGCGTGCGCGCCTACGTCTACCGGCAGGACCAATACGGCCGCGTCGTCGCCACCGTGTACGTGCGCCGGTGGCCATTCCCCTTCATCCGGCGCGATGTGGGCTTGCAGATGCTACGCGCGGGGCTAGCGCCGGTTAATGAGGCGAAGACCGGGGTGGATTTTGGCGGCGAGGGGACAGGGAGAAGATTACCGCCGCGGGGAGGAAAGGGCGAAGAGCCTCCGGAGGGGGATTTGGAAGGGGAAGGGGGTTTTAGGGGGGGAGAGTCCTAGGGAGTATAAAACCCGGATGACGGGGTTGGAGGCGGAGAGGGGGGCACCCCCTCCGCCCGGCGGTGGTGGTGGTGGTGGGGGGGGGGGGGGCAATGGGGGCGGGAAAACGTTAGATGGGTAAGGAGGGAAGTAGATATCATCACTTTTTTACCTTTCATATTCGGTTGGTTACGAGCGTTTGGGATTACGTTGTGAGATGTGTTATATCTATCTGCTGGATATGTTCTGTTTTCCTACGTCAGCAGGCTGGAGTTTCGTGTCGTTATTCATCATGGCTTTCGTTGCGGGTTTATTTTGTTTTTATTTTCATGCTTCTTTTCCGTTGTTAGCGATTTATTGCCATCATGGTTTTACCTCAGCATTATTCTACAATCGTACTCTGTATGTAGTTTTATGAAAAGAGATACCAGAGATTGATGTCCCTAGGCGAGTTTTAAACAAGGACGATTGAACACCTATGATCACTCCATATCAATGCTTAGGTGGTTACGGATAATGTACATGTAGTAGTGTACAATACAGCTATGAAACTGCTGATGTAAGGATAGTGTCTGGGGATTATGAAAGTCCAGAGAGAGAGAGTTCCAATAGAAAACCGAGGGGGTTGTGTGGAAGCATGGGAAAAGAAAACGATCGAACGCTCCCAAGAGCGAGTAAGGATTAAACAAATATATCCGACCAATGAAAAGGAAAAAGAATGTTAAAACAAAAAATCCAACCAAGAAAAAGTACAGAATCTAAGGACCAAGGAAATATACATAGATATACCTTAAGAAAACCTTCGCTCAATCTCCGCGAACAATTTTGGACTAATCTCATTGCTAGTCTCCCCCTCCACGCGCCACAGACACCCGCGCCGCTCATAATGCTCCAACAGCGGCCGGCTCGTCTCCTCAAACTTCCTCAGCCGCTGCTTCCAGGTCTCAATCGAATCATCCTCCCTCTGCACCAGCGGCTCGCCCGTCACATCGTCCTTGCCTGGTTCCTTGGGCGCGTTGAATTGGGTGTTGTACACTCTGCCGGATGGGGGGTGGACCCAGCGGGAAGTAATGCGGGAGATTATGATGGCGGGGGGTGTGAGGAGGTGGACGACTAGATTTATGGGGATGAGGGAGTCGAGGGATGAAGCTTGGGCTGCGGTGCGGGGGAAGCCGTCGAGAATGAAGGAAGCAGTAGGGTTTAGGGTTGGGGCCGCCCTGGTGGCATTGGCGGCAGGAGGAGCAGTGGTGAGCCATCCCTTTGAAGTGAGTTCGGAGGAGATGAGGTCGAGAATGACGTTATCTGGTACAAGGTTGCCGGCAAGAATGGTGGATTCCGCTTTGAGGCCTGGTTTTTTCCCCCTTGGTGGTTAGATTAAATGCCTAATGTACTACAAGTAAATAGAGAAAAGTGGGGCGATATGGTCCCAAGGAAAAACTAACCTAGTGGTGTCTTGCTGCGTACATTTTCTCGAAGAAGGTCCCCGGAGCTGATAGATGCGAGCTGGGGGTACCTCTTAATCAATCGTTCAGTCTGGGTTCCCTTTCCAACGCCGGGGGCTCCAACGAGGATAATGCGGGCTGCTTTTTTCAGCTGCCTTGTCGCTTGGGACATAATTTCCTCCAAGGGCAGATGAATGTACAAGCTAATTGAAATTTGGCTGAGAGTCAAGACACAGGGATGGAGGACGACTTCCCAATATTCAGGTGGAGGTCGGGTACAGAGTAGTTAGGGAGGGAAGAGAGAGTGAAAGAGGGGGGAACAAGGAAAGACGAGTATCTAAATCATCCTGCGGGATAATAAAAGAGAAGTAATAAGAATAGCAACAAAGCGCAGTAGCATACATTGGGAAAAGTGCAGCTTTTATACCTAGGTATATGTTGAATATCTCAAGAGATCTCCAGGGCGGCGGCAATGGCGCTGGCTGTGCCTGGCAAATATATATGAATTGGCCCCGAGATTCGCAGCTGTCCCGGCGGTGGCTTCGGTGAGTTGAAGGGCGATCAGGCAAGAAAGTGATTAGTCAGCAGGCGTGACCAATCGGGAGTTTTAGTTGGGGAAGCAAAACGCCGAGGGTCGCCCCTCGGAAGCTGAGATTTGACGGCGGGATGTACGTACAGCGTAACAAGCAAACAAACAAGAGTACGGAATTGTGCAACGCGCGTGAGCGTTATTTGGGGATCATATTGCTGCTCGGTTTGAAGAATGGTATGTTGGCAGATATTGGGTGATTTAGGGGCATCACATTCACATGGGGAGAGAACCCCCATCCAACAACACGCTCCATTCAGTGGATAATTCCTGCAATGAAGAGTGTGCTGTGCTGTGATAATAATGGTGGGGTCTCTTATCAAAGTTTTCATTGATGGAAACAACACAGAATCTCGGTTCGATTTATTCGCCAATTCGCTAAAATGGATGTGGTCTGTATCACCTGATCAATCAAGTTTCGCGCCTTGTCGCGTCGCTGGCACCATAAAGCCTTGCATGTGGACGCGTCGAAACATCACTAAATGGTGCGTCTCTCCGCAACTCGCTGCGGCCGCCAGATCTCACGACTACAACTACAGACTGCTATTTACCATATATCACAACCAGCATGATTCAGTACGATAGATCTCGCATGGACCCTAAACGTCGGGCTCCAATTGACTATAAAAAGAAGCAGTTCGCAGCTCCAACATACAGGGAGCACGATTATGCCCACCGCCTCAATTTCTATGAAATCCCCCCAACTCAAGAAATCACTCTCGAGCAATTTGAACAATGGGCTATTGATAGGTTAAGAGGTAAGTTTATGATAAGTTCTTGTTTATTAAACATTATATTTCACGAACCCTTTTTGTGTGCAGGTTCTAACCCCTCCAAACACTAGTCCTCGCTGAGCTGGAAGCATGTTCCTATAGAAACAAAACCCCCGCCGAAACCGCCGCCCATATTACCCCTCTCCTCAACAAATTCCTCCCTCTCTCAGCCAATACGTCCTCTAGCACGGGTGTTGACCAACGCCTACGAAATGAACGACAAAAGGACCATTACTCCCACTTCATCCTGCGTCTCGCATTCTCCTCAACAGAGGATCTGAGACGTCGCTTTGCCCGCCTCGAAACCATGCTTTTTAAGTTCCGCTTCCAAATGGACGACTCCAAAGAGAGACGTGCGTTCATCGAGAGTCTCAATTTCAATTGGGATATGGTTTCGGATGAGGAAAAGCATCAACTTGGGGATAGCTTGCTAGCATGCACGTATGGTGTCAGGCGTCTTGAGGATGAGAGCTGGTTTAAGGTGGACTGGGAGAGGGTGCCAGAGCTGGTTGAGCGGAGGGGGGTGTTTATGAAGAAGGGTAAGGCCTATGTGCCCGTGCGAGAGCAGCTTAGTATGATTCTAGCGGAATTTACGGCACGGCTAGAGAAGGCCCTTGAGGTAAGTGATAAATATCATGAAACTCTTCTCTTCCCTCCAAGGCAGTAGTAGCCATGCGATTTATTAACCATCTACCTAGTTTACAAGCCGAGCGTTGCCCCGGCTAGATGAGGACGATCGCCTGACGCCCATTCTAGATCATCTCTCGAAAAATTTCGGCACCTCTGATTCCAGCTACGCCGAGGGTGAGGGCTCCGTGCCTGGAGCGCCGATTACAGCGGCATCCATTGATGCTCTATCCCAACACTTTCCACCTTGCATGCGTAATCTACACATGCAGCTACGCAAAAATTCTCACCTAAAGCATTTTGGCCGATTGCAGTACACCCTTTTCCTAAAGGGCATCGGCCTGTCACTCCAGGACGCGCTGATATTCTGGCGACAATCCTTCAAGATATTCACTGATGACGAGTTCAGCTCCAAGTATAAGTACAATGTCCGCCACGCGTACGGTGACGTGGGAGGGGATGTCAACCGCAGGGGTCGTGGATATCCACCTTACTCCTGCCAGAAGATTCTCACAGATAATTCACCAGGCGCCGGCCAAACACACGGCTGTCCCTACCGGCATTTCTCCGTCGAGAACCTCATTAGCTTACTCCAAGCGACGGGCGTTAACGATAAGGAAGTTCTGCGTGGGGTGCGGGAGGACGTGGGCAAGACTCGCTATCACCTTGCATGTAATCGTGTGTTTGAGTGGGTGCATAGAGCGGAGATTAAACAGGTGCGCGATGAGGGGAGTTGGAGCCAGACCGATCTTGATACGATTGTTCATCCCAACACGTATTTCAAGCGTAGTTATCTGCTGAAGAATTTGGGGAAGATTGCGAAGGCAGATGTGGAGATGACGTTGTGATTTTGGCGGCTTGGAAACCCCGCCTGGGAGAAACGGTATACACAATTTCGTAATTCATCATTATGACTGGCGTTGGAATGATCGTATTTCTGGGGCGTTTCTTCATTATGAAAGTATTAATGTACCCACGAGCAGATTTTCTTATCTTTTTCTCAATGACTAAATTGGTATTTTTAATTTTTTCAAAACACAACTCGAAGCTTAAGTGTAGCATCTTCATTCCCAAGGAGCATTAAGGTAGAAAGAGAAAAATACATAACTACCTAGGTATCAGTCAAATGAAGAATATGTTACCGCTGCTGATTCCCGATTCATCCTAAAGCATCAGAATGAGCTCTCAAAGACAGGTGCCCAGCCATGGGTAAAAAATAAATTAATATTTAATCGCTCTCCGCACGACGCGAAAACAGCAACATCATTGAGAATGACAGAAGCTGGCATAAGTAATGTGTATTTTATTAGAGTCGGCGTGGTTGTTTATGAAAGAGAAAAAAAGGAAGGGAGGAAAAAAATGCGTTGCAAGGGCCTATTTATACCGGAAATTTTCGCTAGTTGGAATTCATGAGGGTACTACGGTAGACTGCACGGACCAACAATACTGCAACCTGGCTTCAACTGCGCAACTCCACACAAAGCTTGTTCTCTTGTTGCCCACCGACATAATACCTCCCCTCCTCTTCTCTCCTCCGTGCTCCTGTTCTTCTGGTCATCATCTGTGGCGATTATGCTCGGGGCCAGAGTCTTCTGAACATTGGCTGTTACCACGCTCCAGACTACGCACTCCGCCCCGCCGCTGTGTTGTTCCGCTCCCCTCCTCCAAGTTGACGACCCCCTATCAGAATATCTCCGGGCCACATCACAGCCATGGACTACGAGGCATTGAAGGATCAGTGGAGTGATGTCGAGGATCGCGACGGAATTAGACTCAGTTGGAATACATTCCCAAGCACGCGCATGGTTTGTTGATGACCTCCCCTATTGCTTAGTTTCAGCTGCTGATATTTACTATACAAACAGGAGGCGTCCCGTCTCGTAGTACCTATTGGAGCAATTTACACACCTTTGAAAGAGAAACCCGAATCTCCTCTGCTCCAATATGAACCGGTCACTTGCAAGCAGCCATGTAGAGCTGTTCTTAATCCATTCGCGTAATTTCTCACTCACTGCCCAGCGTTTGAACGATGATCTTCATATCAGAATTGCAATAGGAGCACGGGACTGACATAGATATGCAGCAACGTTGATATCCGTGCTCGTATCTGGATATGCCCTTTCTGTCTCCAACGGAACCCGCTCCCCCAGCACTACAAAGACATAACGGAAAATGCAATCCCCCCTGAACTTCATCCGCAAAGCACGACAATCGAGTACCAGCTCGCACGTCCAGCTCCGGCCCCTCCCATTTTCCTCTTTGTGGTTGATACCTGCCAGGAGGAAGATAGCTTGAAAGCTGTGAAAGATTCCCTTGTCATGAGCCTTTCCCTCTTTACCACCAAACGCATTGGTTGGGCTAATTACTTATGGCACAATGGTTCGAACACCTCGACCTCTATCTCCCTCTCTAATGAGCTTATATATCCGCAAACGTCGAGATTGCAGCTGACTAACTCAAAAACACATGCAGGCTCAAGTCCATGAGATCGGCTACACCGAATGCGCCAAGTCATATGTATTCAGGGGAAGCAAAGACTATGCTGCCAAACAGGTTCAGGAGATGCTTGGTCTCCTCGCTCCAGGTCTCCGTCCAAATGTGCCACAACAGCTTGGCCGCCCCAGTGCCCCTATGTCCCCAGCCGCAAGATTTCTCCTACCAGTGCAACAGGCCGATTTCCAGATTACGAATGTTCTTGAGCAATTGCAGCGGGACCCATGGCCAGTTGCTAACGATAGGCGCCCATTGCGATGTACGGGTGTTGCGCTGAGTGTAGCGGTAGGGTTGATGGAAACATCATTCCAGGGTGCTGGTGGTCGCATTATACTTTTCACTAGCGGCCCTGCTACTGAGGGTCCGGGTCTTGTCGTTGGACCTCAGCTTAAAGAGCCAATGCGATCCCATCATGATATTGACCGTGATAATATTAAGTATTACAAGAAAGCTGTGAAGGTAAAACCTTTTTCTGGCATTTCTCTTTTCTTGCACGGTTATAGACTAACATCTTCTTTTATAGTTCTATGAAAATCTCGCTAAGCGCGTCTCTCATAATGGCCACATTGTCGATATCTTCGCTGGCTGCCTGGACCAAGTCGGTCTTCTTGAAATGAAGGGCTTGGTGAATTCAACAGGTGGCCATATGGTATTAACCGATAGCTTTACATCCTCACAATTCAAGCAGTCATTCGTCAGAGTGTTTGATAAAGATCAAAACGATAACCTTCTCATGGGCTTCAATGCCTCGCTGGAAGTGCTCACCACCAAGGAGTTGAAGGTTACTGGCCTTATTGGCCATGCTGTTTCGTTGAACAAGAAATCCAACTCAGTTGGAGAAACTGAGTGTGGTATTGGCAATACCTGCTCTTGGAAAATGTGTGGCATCGACCCCACTGCCAGTTACGGGATTTACTTCGAAATCGCCAATCAGGGAGGGCCGGCTCCAATGCAACAGAGCCCTCATAGAGCCATGATGCAGTTTTTGACATATTATCAACATTCGTCTGGACAGTACCATCTTCGAGTAACCACAGTTGCGAGAACGCTCAGCAGCCCTGCGGGTGACGCTGCGCTAGCTCAATCTTTCGACCAAGAGGCTGCTGCAGTGCTCATGTCTCGCATTGCAGTTTTCAAATCCGAAGTAGATGACGGCCCTGACGTGCTGAGATGGGTTGACAGAATGCTCATCAGACTCTGCTCTCGTTTCGCGGACTACAGGAAGGATGACCCCACCTCCTTCCGGCTGGAGAAGAACTTCACTCTCTATCCGCAATTTATGTTCCATCTGCGCCGAAGCCAGTTTTTGCAAGTTTTTAACAACTCGCCGGACGAGACTGCCTTCTACAGACACGTTCTCAATCATGAGGATGTTGGCAATTCGCTCGTCATGATCCAACCTACACTTGATTCGTACTCCCTTGAGCACGAAGGCAGTCAACCAGTGTTGCTTGATTCTGCTTCCATTCAGCCCACCCACATCCTTTTACTCGATACGTTTTTCCACATCTTAATTTTCCATGGTGAAACTATGGCAGCGTGGCGGAAGGCGGGCTATCAGGACCAAGAAGGCTATGAGAATTTTAAGGCTATTCTTGACCAGCCCAAGGAAGATGCGAGAGTATGAATTAACCCATTTCTGTTTTTCCCCCTTATTATCTCTGTAACTTGGGCGTGTTGGCGAAGCAGCAGCATCTAACCTCGTGTGTTGCCCTATAGGAACTTATCCAAGATCGATTCCCGCTGCCTCGTTTCATTATTTGCGATGCAGGAGGTTCTCAGGCACGTTTCTTGCTCTCCAAACTTAACCCGTCGGCCACCCACTCGACTGGTGGCTACGGTGTAGTGGCTCAGTCTGCACAAACTATCTTTACAGATGATGTTTCCCTACAGACATTCATGGACCATCTTATGAAGTAAGTTCAGCCCCAAACTTTCTCTCCGTGATGTAATTATATTATAATCCACGATGATTAGACGGGGATGCTAACCGAATCATCAGGTTGGCCGTTTCTGGTACAAGTTAAGTAAAAGAACTGGCTGCAAGAATTCTACTAGTTCAGTGGTAATTTCATAATAGAATGAATAATTTTTATAACTTGACTGTAATGCATATTTCTTTAGTAAGAGCTATTATTTCCTCCTTTTTTATATTTATTATACAAGGCTTCTTATTCTTGTGATTCAAAGGTTGCTTAAGCCAGCGTACGATTACAGGCGTACACCGGCTTCTTATATTGTAATCTCGTACACTAAATTAATTAGCGTACACTATGGCCTCTTTACACTCATACGCGTATGCTAGTAGTTTGGAAGCAGCTGTGTACACTAGTAGTTTGGAAGCGGCCGCGTTATTATCTGACAGTCATATGTTCTTCTGAACCACATCCTCCCTCACCAGATTCAGTCACACCCATGTGACCATGTCATACACTCTAGCTTCATGTGGATTAGCTTGCCACTAGCATTTTATGATCATGTGATCTATTCCTGATTCAGCTAGTATTCTGTGTACATTCTCACAAAGAAACTTTCACTATATTATATCACTTATTCACTAACTTTTCTCATTCTTCAATCATCATCTTCATTATTATCATCATTAAATATCATCATCTCATTCAAGATTTCTATTTCTTCTTCTGTTCAACTCTTTTTATCTGTTTATCTATTACATTGTACATGTTTCTGACAATGACTCTCTATTCTCATAACAAGTATTATTGTAGTGTCTATATCAGACAGTTTATTAGCAGTAAGTGTAATATATTGTGAAATATAATCAGAACTTGTTTATCTTCTAACAATTGCTAGAATAATGTATTATTATGAATAATGACACATCTTCTTCATTTTCTTATACACTCTTAACTGTTTCTCTTCTTAGTGAGTTTCTGATTATGTTTTCTGACATGATTTTATATAAACACAGATGCTGATATGTTGTTTTTATTCATATAGAATCTTCATATGTTAACAGATCTGCATCTGTCAATGATAGTGAACTCAGTGTTGAATTATTAATTGAGAACTTGAAGAATATGATAATGAAGAAATTATCTATACTATATATAACTGAGTCTTCTGCATCTCTCTCTGCTCTCTCTGTTTCTTTCTCTGTCACTCTCTCTCAATCTTCTATATCTGTCTCTGTGTCTGATTTCTCTTCTGCTACCTCTATTTCTGCAATTCTCACTTCTACTACTTCTGGTTTTATTATCTCTGCTTTTGTTATCAGCTCTTTCTATTTTAAGAAGATGTTGTATAGACTTAATAAATCATCTCTCTCAGTGTGTACACTCTCACTCTTCTTGCTGACTCTCAGAATAATTTATTGTATAAAGATAGTGTATAATATAACTATCTGAAGTTCAGTCACAGACACTGATTATTACATTTATTTTAAATATTCATGATGAGATAATCATCTATTCATCTCAGAGAATCACCTCTTCTCTTAACAATGTTGAGATTATAAGTCTTTTTCTTTTTTTATCTTTTCTTTCTAATACTGATTTTTCTATTCTTAGAGAAAATTGTTATGAGTTTCACTGTGTATAAAGTTGTGATATTCACAGATATCAAGAAGCTTTTCACAATTATAAAGTTCAATATTATAGAGATATCTGCTCTGATGAATTTCTTCAGAATAATAGATCTATATCAATCTATTCTCTAATATCTGTTGTCTGACTTCATGATGCAGGTGAAAAATATCTGTGTTTTCAGAAACAGAAACATGAATATCATACTCTTTTACACCTGTGAGTGTGAGGCTTGTACACCTTGTCTGAGATGTCATTGTGAAAATGAGCTGTTTGCACACTGTGTTCTGCTTTCTGTATTTCTCTGTGTCTCTCTCTCTCTTTCTGAGAAGTCTCATATGTGTTGTAATTATACATACAATTCTAAGATCAGTGAGTGTTTGTTTGATAATTGTTATCTCTGTTTTTATAGTTTTATACACTAATAATAGTTCTTAGTTACTTCAGTATCAGAGATTATTTTAATTGAAGATGATAATGTCACTGAGACTACTCTCTTTCACTCTTAAGCTTCTTCTGTCACTTTCTCTCCCTTCTCTGCAGAGAAGATTGTGTGCATATCAGATTGTAAGTGTTCAGCTCTGAGTAACTTCTGTTATTTATTCAGTTCTACATCTCTCTCTTTCATTTCTTCTGCCTTTACTTCTTCTGTCCTGGCTTCTGATTCTGCAGGTCCCACACTCTTCTTCAATTTCTCTATACATATGTGTACACATTTCTATATTGACATTCCAGTCAATCTTGTGATAAATGACATTAATGTTGTATGCAGAGTGATAGAGAAATTGAAGATATACACAGTGTTATTGTGAGAGCAGCTTGCAGCTCTTAAATCTCTTATGAATCTCAAGTTTTGAGATTTTCTTTGTTTTTGATGTTTTTCAGGTGGTGTGGCATTGGAAATAGATTAAATGTGTGACATATGAAAATGAATGAGATATATATGATAATATTTGTCTTTTTATGACTGACTCTTACAGTTGATGATTAATTCATTATCTCTTTTCTTTTTCTTACACTTTTTCTTTATCTGCTAGTTACTACTCTTATGCAATCTCTATATAATATAGTATTCAGTGACTAGGTTCAGCAGCTTTCATCTTTGTAATTCTGTCTCATGCATTATACTGTCTCTCTTCACTCACTCAGATCACTACAGTGAACAGCTCATTGAAACTAATCTTGTCTGATCTCTGAGTGTTCTCAGAGGTTGAGATGACTTGATTTCATGCATTTACAGATGTTTCAGATAGTTCATTCTCTGTGATCTCTGTGATTGAACTGATATAAACAGTTAAATTCAACTCTGAATTTCTTTTTCTTCTGTGATCTGATCTATATATAAGTCTGCTGCTTTGAGACTGCTCTTTACTGTGTTATATCTGCTGTCTGCAGCATGTTATTATACAATCAGCTACAGTCTCATCACTTATTGAAGTGTGGTATTTATCTGATTTCTTCATTTCTTCTCATTCTTTTCTTGTAATTATGAAAAGATCAGAATAAGTGAGATCATCTGATTCATAAGTGTCTATGATTTCTCTTACTTTGTGAGACTTTTCAATTATAAGTTTCTTCTTTTTCAACACTGATGATAGTGCTGTGAATAATTATAATTCACTCAGGTCTTATATCTTTGCTTTTATAAGTTATAAACTGTTGATTAAGTTGTGTAAGATCTGTTTCTCTGATTCTTTCAATGCATACATTCTCAGAGAATGTGATTTAAGTATTTTATATGACTCAAATCATCTAGATTGAAACTTCTCAGAATTCTCATTATGTACAAGAACTCATGTTCTCATCTTGAGACTTGATTCCTTAATAAGTGAGTCTCATATTCTTTTCAATTGAATTGCTCAGTTCAGAAGTAACTTATTAGCTTTTACATGTGCATGACTGATCTCTTTCAATCTTGATTTCATGTCTGTAACTGTTGTGTCTGTGACTGCTGTGTCTGTAACTGCTGTTTTCTTCTTCATCTTTTCTGAAGCATTCTCTGAGATGCGTGGATGCAATTCATACAACAGGTAGAATGATGAATGCTTGAAGACTGCATGCTGTTGAATCCGCGTGACTAATAGCACCTGACTGAGATATTCATCTTATAATCTCATAGGCTTACTCACTAGATATTTTGTCAGTATGTTGCTCAAGATTCTATTCAAGTGTTTCATCTTCTCATTCATCTGTGAATGATATGGCATTGTTCTATGATGTCTTGTCTGTAACTGACTCATGAAATGCCTTACTACTTCTTCTACAAGATTCATATTATTATCAGTTAGAATCTCACACAGTATTTCATAGTTGATATAGATCTCATTATGTAGAAACTTTGTCATCATCTTCTCTATTATCTCTGAAACTGCTTTCATGACTGACCAGTCAGTAGTGTAGTTAATAGCAGTAATTATTCATTAATTTTCATTTAGTGTTTGCAGTAATATGTCTATGAGGTTCACTCTTCATCATTTGAATAATTGTATCATACACTTTATCTGATGTTGCACTTTCTCATGTTCTAATCCTTTCTTAGATTCTTTCATAACCTGATAATTCAGGCACTTGTGAGTGTACATCTGAATGTTCTCAGCTATACTTGATCAGTACACTCTTGATTCAAGTACACTTATGAGTTCAGGGCTTTCTAAGTGACTGAATTCCTTGTACATATGAGTCATTAAGTTGTGTTGAAATAAAGATTTTAGATAGAGAGCTTCTGCATATTCTAGATTGTGATAAAGCACAATGTTATTTTTCAATTTTCTCAGCTTGAAGTTCAGAAGCATCTCTTCTACTACTTTTGCAAGACACTTATCATTCAATATCTTGTCATTCTTCAAGTGAGAGATCATGATATTCACTCATTCTAATTCCTTGCATTTTCTCAGTGTGTTTAACATGAACATCTCTTGTGCCTGATTTGCAGAACTCTCACTCATGAAATTAAGTCTGTAACTGATTGTGTCAGGCATCACTGTATCTGATCTCTTTCAGTATTTAATATGAAGATTGTACACTTGAAACTCTGAGATTCAACATGCTAAGTATTTGAAAGGTTTTATTATTGATTATAGATAGATGAGGCTTTCATGATTCATGATTATCATTGTCATATGTCTGTTGTTGATATATCTATTTCATAACACCAGTATATGCTTGATTGCTAGCAATTTCTTTTCATACACTGAGTAATTGAGCTCAGTGCCTGATAGTTTCCTATCATTGTATGTCACTAGATGCAGCTTGCTGTTCTTACTCATCTGTAGAAGAGTGCCTCTGATAGCTCATTCAGATGCATCTGTCTCAATGTAGAAAGGTTTATCATAATCTGATTGAATAAGTACTGAGAATGTTGTTACATGTTCTCTC